GCCCAGTCCGCGCGCCTCCCGCCGCTTCTTCCGCTTGCGGTTGACGGCCGAGATGAAGGAGATCGCCAGCATCTCCCGGGCGTACGGCTCCTTCTTGGGGGCCCACGAGCCCTGCGTGGGGAGACAAGGCCAGATGCAGGGGGTGCCCGAGCGGCAACCCGCCCCCCCCCTCCACAGGCCCACATGCATATAGCTCAAGCCCACCAGCAGCACATCTAACTGCAAGAACTCCAAACCCAGCCCAGCCCCCACAGACGCCCCATGGCGACCCCTGTGCCAGCTGGAGTGCCACCGTCTTCTCCCGAGAGACCCCGCCAGCCTCCCTGGCAGCCCTCAGTCCCAAGGCCTCCTCAGCGGCCCAGGCCTTCCTCCAGACCCCACCCCACTTCACCCTTGTTTGCCCTGCCCCATCCCATTAACCTGCCAGAGCCAGCGCCAGACACTAGCACCGTAGTCCCAACACTGAGGGGCGCTGGACAACCCGAATCTCTTCCAGATTCCCTGTCTGTTCCCTGTCTTTGACCCAAACTTCTAACGCTCACATCCCCACCCCTGCCTTTCCACCTAATAGAACCCACAGGAGTTCACTTGCTCCCCTCCCCCTCTGCACTCTACCACCCCCTGCCCAGGTCACTGCAACCCCCAAAGTCACCGCGAGGGGGGACCCGGTGCAGCCCCCACCCCAGCTGTGCTTTCCAGCCCAAAGCTAAGCAACTTCCTGTCAACAACCTTCCCAGAAGGAACCAGCCTGTTGCCAAGGCCTCGGTAGGAAGTTTTAGTCTCTTCTGCACTCCACCTCCCCTGGGCTTACGTTACCCAGCCCACCTTGACTACCCCCCTCTGCTTCCCCCCACCTGCTCCAGAGGGCTCCCCCACTTCCAACCCCAGACAGCTCTTCAGCTCCACAACTCTTCTTGCATCTGTGAGTGGCTGAGTTCCGGAGGGACCCACCCTACCTCCCTGGAAGGAACCACTGTGTCCTACTTAGCCCGTCCCCAACAGCCCCCATCTGTGGCTCCGTTCACTGTGGTCATCTGACTCCCACTCCCGGGGCCACAGCCCCAACCTCTTGTTTCTCCTTCTCAATTGACTCCCGAAGCCAGCTCATCCCCAGCCTGTTCGGTTTCTCACGCTGCCTTTTCTGGACCTCTCCACCCACTCCTAACAGGGTGCTCTCTTGGCTCCCAGCCTCACCTAGTCCCTTCTCTTCAGTGCCACCTTCCTGGTCCCAGAACCAGCCTGCCCAGTTCGACTAGCCCCACCTCCCTAGACAGCAAGCAAGAAGCCCTGGTAGCGGAGTGGTTTTGGCATTGGGCTGCAAACCACAAGGGCAGCAGTTCGAACCCACTGCAGGAGGAAGATGAAGCTCCTGTAAAGAGTTACAGCCTCAAAACCCCACGGGGTAGTTCTACTCTGTCCTGGCTGTGGGACCCAGAGCAAGTCCTTGTTGCCTCATGTTCTCCACCTGAGGTCAGCCAGTCCTGGCGCCACCCCCACGGCACCCGAGAAGCTGAGTAATTCTGAGTGCAGCAACAGCCACACAGCCAATGTCCAGGAAATGGTCCTACTGGAGATTTTGGACTCGAGGGTCGGGATGATCGAGGGCGGCAAGGATACAGACGGGGCCTTCAGCTTCTCTGGAGAAGGGCTCTTTAACTGGGGTCCTGGGAACCCAGAGCACCCCCAAGTGCGCTATCAGGTGTCTGTCTTTCTGGAGCAGGGGATGCATGGCCTTCCCTGGACTCTCAGAAGGGCCCGGGACCAGAAGTCGATGAGAACACCTGCCCTCCAGGCTCTGCGATGCTGGGGTGGCTGGATGCTGGGGTGGCTGGATGAACAAACCCCAGAGTTTGTTCATGTGCCCTCAAGGTGAAGGCCACCTAGAGGTTCCGGCTGGGGCTGGAGGGGCACCATGCAGGGGCAAGTCTACGGGAAGTAGTGCCCGTTGCAATTAGTTTTAAACTGTTGAGTGAGCTCTCGCAGGCAGCGGTGGGAACTGGGGTGATGACTAGTGGTGCCCGGGACGTGGCCACACCAGCCATGCCCTGGCTAGGCCTCTGAGGCTAAGCCTGAGGGGGTGAAATGAGGTGAGGCAGGATGGGAATCAGACAGACTGCTCCCAGGCCAACTGGTGTCCTCGTAGGCCAGGCACAGTTGAATGGGGGCTGGGGGACCAGCACGAAGGACAAAAGGTGTCCCCTTTCCCCAAAACTTGGAATCCAGTTGACAAGAGAGCTTTCTGAGCTGGGCATTGGTGAGCTGCACCCCCAGGGAGGAGCCTGGGGGCAGACTCAGAGACCCATGGTGTCTGCCCCCGCCCACACGTCCAGCCACCGCTCTATGAGAGTGGCTGTCCTTTGGGGGGACTGACTCCACAGGGAGGCTGTGATTGGTTCTATCATTGTTCTTTTAGCCTGAGAGCGAGCTGCTTCAGCAGCACCCAGCTTCCTGAAACAGAAGGAAGCTGCCTGGCTTAACCTGAGGAGGGTGAGGTTTGTAGCCCACCCCCTCTGCCCCTCCTTTAACCAGCTGGTAGTGAGAGGACCCACCCACCTACCAGCAAGGGGCTCTAATGGACTAGTTAGACTCCCAGCGAGGTAGCTTTGAGATTTGGGCCAAGAGCCCACGGCTGAGAACTGTGCATTTCCAGACTGCCCCTGGGGAGCCCACAGTCAGGCCCTGGCCCCCAAGGCAGCCCCTTCCCCACAGCTAAGCTGCTGCCCACTCTCGGCTGTCCAGCGCCTTCTCCCCGGCCCCTGCCCCCTGTCCCTCATCAGAGCACACAGCCCATCCTTGAAGGCTAGTTCTCGCGTAAGATGCAGGCGCCCGGTTCATGCCTCTGTATCCCCCGGCCTTGACTGCCTGCCTTGGGTCCAGTCCCTGCGCTGGAAAAACCAAGAACCCCGGAGCCTGAAAGCAGAGGATGAGAACTCGGACTGCAGAGCCCTGTCTTGGAAAGGCCACCTAACCAGCTCTCCACCCCTCAGCCGGGGAAACGGGTCCTGTCAGACTTGGGCGCTCTCTGAGCCTTGTTCTTCCCATGGAAGCGGAAGGTGATGTGTAAGATCAAGGGTTTTTGGTGAGTGGTTTGTGAAACGCTCCCCTCCCAGCAAAGGTAAAGCCCCTTGTCTGTTGCCTCACACCAGGGATCTGAGCAGCCCACTGGGGCCCCGGCGAAGGGAGTCCCTGCAGCCCATTTCCAGGTCTCCTTTGTAGAAAGGCCGGAGACTACAGAGAGGGCCCCAGAGAGAATGGATTCTACTCCAGAAGCTTCGGGAGGGAGGTGGCCTGTGAGTCTTGGGAGGCGCGGGGTGGGGTCTGCAGAGGAGTTTCGGAGGAGGGAGGTGGGGGTGTCTTTGGGGTCCTCTCCTGGCTGTTGAGAAGCCAGGTCCCGTCGAGGTCCAGCCGTGCTGCTCGGCCAAGAGCAGGCTTCGCTCGGGTCTGGACCAGCCTCAGAGGCTCTGGCGCTGCCGGCAGCTCAGCCTTGCCTGCGCTCCCCACTTCAGACTTGTACCCCTGGGCTCCAGCATTCCTGGCCTCCTTCACTCTCAGCTGAGGGCTTCCCCTCCATGAGCCCACAGCTGGGAATGCCCTCGACCCCCTACAACTCAGACAGACACTTACTTTAGGACAAGACCTCCTTGGGACAAGACCTCCTCACTTTAGGACAAGACCTTGGGACAAGACCTCCTCACTTTAGGACAAGACCTCCTTGGGACAGAGCCCCTCCAGCCTCCTGGGCCCCTCCGACTGCCTTCTCCCCTTCACCAACTTTCCCCCAGGCCCAATCACAACTCTCCCAGAGCCGCAGAGGAAAAGACAAAGTGATCCAGTGGTATACGAAAGCCTTCCAAGGTGGCCTTGGCACTTACCTTGGACTTGGCTGAGCTACAGGTGGTAGAATCTGTTGGCAGGATAAGAGAGACAGGAAGAAAAGAGAGTTAGAAGGGGGCCAGAGAGGCCGGAGCCTTGTGCACACGATGGAAGACTCTCCAACAGGCTTCAGAAACATGGGGGTGGGGGGGTTTGTGCCAACCCCCAGGGGTCCCCAGGCCCTGGGGGTGTGCCGGTGCTGATGTCACTTCCTGTGCCACAGGGATGGAGCCCCAAATGGTGCCAAGCTCCACTTCCTGTTGGGGCAGGAAGGGACATCAGGCTCTGACCCTTCTTTGCCCCAAGGTAAAGGCCCAAGGGAGCAGGGGGGTCCTTTTCTTTGGGCCCGCTTCTTCTCAACCCCCCTTCTGCCCCTGTCCCTTTGAAGTGCTGGAGAGAAAATGCCAGAGACAGACGCAGGCCACAGAACCACCACAGTGAGACACAGCACACCACAGGGGCACGGGGGAGATGGGGGCCACTCGGGCACTTGAGGAGGGGACACAGTGCCCTCCATCCACCTCGGAGCCCCTGGCAGGAGCTGGGAGGGGAGCCTGCAGGTGGCCGGGCAGCTGGCAGAGATGCAGGGGGGTGGACTCCAGACTGCTCAGAGCCCTCGGGCAGGGGCCCCTCCCTGTGAGTGAAGCCACCACATCGGTGGCTCAGGCCCCCTCCCGGAAGAACACTGCCGTGGGCATGGGGCTAGAAACGAGTCCTGGCCCTGGGGGGCAGTGGGCAGGTGCGGTTAATCCACACTCTCTGGCAAGCAAGTTAGAGGCCTCTCCCCAGGCCCCACCCTGCCCACGGTGAGAAAGTCACACAGCAACACACAGGGCGGGCGCATGGCAGCGGGTGATGAGAAGAGGCAAGGGGCTCCTTTCTGTCCCCCCGCCCCCCAAGCCAGCCTCCTACTGCTAGTGGCACTCCAGGGGTAGCTGCCCTCAGAGCGATGCCAATGGCTGGTCTTTCGGAAGTAGCCCACCATGGCCCACTGCCAGGAGGTAGTGGTGGCCAGGCTTCTATCTGCACCATCTAAGGGCTCTCAGTCAGAAACCGGGAAGTAGTGGGACCCCAGGGGGCACTACCCTTGTGAGTGGTCTCTCCTCAGCTCTGAGAGGGCCTGAGGCAGAGGGGGCCAGGCTGCGGAAGGAGGAGCGAGCTCCTGGGGCCACTGAGGCCGGAGCTGTAGCTATGGGGAAGGTCCTAGCAGTGGCCTCCCTGGGTCAGGATGAAACTGGGTCCCCATACCACCAACTGACTGGGAGGGATCAGGCTCCAGCCCAGAGGGAAGGTGGCAGAGTGTGGGGTCTGCAGAGGGCAGTCCCCCTGAGCCCAGAGTTTCTGGCGGAGGGGCAAGGGGCAAGGGTCTGGCTCCACCCAGTGTCTCCTGAGAAGGGGTGACTGACTGGTCTGTCGGGGAGCGGGGCCGGGCCTCACTGCCTGCCCAGCCTTCTTATAATCACCCGCCACTGTCAGTGACCGAGGCCGCGAGAGGACACTGTACCGGTTAAAGCTCCAACAGGTCCGCTGGAGGAGGGGAGGGGAGGGGAGAGAGGGGCCGGTAGGGAGGAGGGGGAGCACAGGGAGAGGAGGGAGGAGGAGGGCGGGGTGCAGGAGAAAAGGAAGAAAGATTAACAAGAGAACATGCCCAGAAGGCCACAGCCCAGAGGAATGGAAGGCTGGGGAAGGAGACCAGTGAAGGAGGGGATTGAAGCAGCAGGGGTGGCTCCCACCTGTGGGGTGGGAGGGGGGACAGCTGAGCAGGTGAGGTGGGGGCACCCAGGGCTAGGGACTTCCCCTGCGGAGGGGCCCTGCCATGCCGCCCAGCTCAGTGCAGGGCAAGGGAGGCCCGGCTGGGGCAAGAGGGGGAAGCTGGGCAGCTGGGACCGGGAGGCGTGTGGACCCCCCTCTCTCACTCCCTGGCCCCTGAACTCACCAGAGCCTGGGTCGGTGGGGGGCACCGTCCTGCCGATGTTGGGCAGGAGGTACTCGATGTTGGGCACCGACTGAGGCTCCTTGTCGTCCACGGGGGTCTGTGAACAGGAAAGAGTGGGTCAGCAGCACACCCTCAGGAGGCGGGGCCTCGGACCCTTCATACGGGGTGCCCAAAAGACACCTGCCCCTGCAGGGGCAGTGCCCTTATCAGTCAGGCTCGCCTGAAGGGAGGACCCATCGGTCCCCATCAGACTGTTTTAAGACCCTGGAGGCTCGGGTGGGCCGAGTCTCTCCCATCAGGCTGGAGCTTCCTAAGACTAAGACCCTCCAGGATGGGAGCGTGCTAAGGAGGGGTTTCCTCAGGACAAGGGCCTACATCTGCTCCATCTGACGGGGCGATGGGTGGGGGGCCGGGGTCCTGAAAGCCAGGACTGTATCTCTCCCATCAGACTGCAGACGCCTCAGCAGAGGGGTCACTCCCCTCCCCGCCAGTGGGACCAGCCCCCACTGCACACCACCCACCTCCTCACTTACTCTTTCTCCCTTGTCCTCCTCGTCGCTGAAGAACCAGTCTGACTGTCGGGGAGAAAAAGGAGGCCGTGAGGTCGCTGTGGGAAGGGGCTGAGGGGAGATGTGGGCCCTTCACCTATTTGGCCTCCAGGGTCCCACTCAGGGGGCCAAATGGAGCGGGCCAGGAGGGGGCACCAAGAGGCGAGGGTCCTTCTTAGAAAGCACAGCTGGAGGGACTCGAGGGCTCTCTGAGATGCCCACTGGAGTTACCCCCCTGAGGTCAGCTTTTAGCTGAAGAACAGATGAATCATAGGACCAGTGAGTACTTTGAGCCTTAAAAAAAATAAATTAAAAATCACTTGCATGAGATCAAATCAAAATCCCCCAACCAAAGCTGCCGACTGAGTTGATTCCGACTCCCGGCTGCCCTACAGGACAGAGTCCAGCTGCTCCACCGGGTTTCCGAGGCCGCAGGTCTTTCTGGAAGCAGACTGAAATGTCTTTCTCCCATGGAGTGGCTGGTGGGTTTAAACTGCCAACCTTCCCGAGAGCAGCCAAGCCCTTACCCACTGTGCCGCCAAGGGGTCCAGCGGGGTGGCGGTTACCCTTAAGGGAACAGCGGAGGGGAGGGGTGCAGGGAGACCCGAGGACGGGCCCAAGACAGAACATCTAGGTCAGATCAATGAGAGAGGCGGCACGCTGTGAAACCTGCCATCAGAGTCCCTCGGCAATCCGTGGGTGCTGGTCAATGCCAGCCTCATACGATGTGTAAACCCTTGCCAAAAACACAACCCTGGTGGGGCCTGAGCATGACAGTGGGACAGGAGGAAAGTC